CGGTTTGTTGGGGGAGGGGACAGGGTTGGAGCCGAGGTGTTGGGGGTGGGGACGACACAATCAGGATGAAAATGCTGCTTATGGAACTTGTTTTCCTTATTCTTTTCTGGTATTTTAAGGAATAAAATATTTTCCAAAAAACATTATGACCAACCAAACATTGGAAAATTGAAAAAAAATATTTTCCTCTACACCAAACACACCCATAGTTTGCACTTTGCTGTGATTGTGGTGTGAAATTGACATTAAATTTCTTTTAAAATGTGACTGTTACTGAGTTTATTAGCTGTGTTGCTGTGTGAATTCACTTTGTTTTTACAGCTCTACTCAATTTTGCATATATTTTTTTTGTTTAAAGTAGCTGTGCTTGGTCTAGTTGTGAAAATATTGATTTTCTTTATAGGTGCTGAATTTAGTCCGCTATGATTGTGGTGTGAAATTGACCTAAGCTTTCTTTAAAAAGCCATACTGAATTAATTTATTAGCCGTGTTGCTCTATGAATTCAATTTTTTTTCCAGTTTTACTCCGTTTTGTGTATTTTTTGGGGTTTAAAATAGCTTTATTTGGTGTATCTTTGCTTAGTTTATTGATTCTTTTAAAATTTATTGTTGGTGAATTTAAGCAGCCGTGATTGTGGGGTGAAATTGACCTAAAATTTCCTTAAAATATGATACTGAGTGAATTTATTGGCTGTGTTGCTGTGTGAATTCATTTTGTTTTTCAGTTTTACTCTGTTTTGCGTTGTTTTGTTTTTGGTTTAAAGTAGCTTTTGCAAGATTTATGATTGCACTTTGAAATTGACCAAAATTTTGTCTCAAGTGCGATCGTGATGCTTAATCCACTATGTTGTTGTTTTGCGTGTTTTTGTTCTAAGGTGCTTTACTTGGTGGAGTTTCGGAAAAAATGATCTTAGGGATGGATATGTGCTGAATTTAATAATCCGATGCTATTGCAGTGTAAAATTGACGTAATTTTCTCTTTTTAAATGCGAAAGATTGATCAAAACTGTTAAGCTTTGTTAGATTGATTTCTAGTAAATTTCCGTTGGCTAGCCAATTGAAAAAGTATGCTAAAATTTTCTCGCTAACTGGCGCCACAAGTCTTCCGATGGATTCCGACGGTTGTCCATCGATAATGTAGTATTTCCAACCATTGGAAATTCAATAAATTCGAGTTGTCTATACTTTTATCTTTATTTTAGCAAAACTCACCGTCCGGTTTTATAAATATTAATACGCGCATGTGCTTGTTTATATACGTAAGTGACAAGGAAAAGATTAATGCAATGTGGATGAGAAGGATATAGTCGAGCATCTCCGGGTGGGTTTATACTCAATACTGTTGATTTAGTTTCTCATTCTATTAGTTCAGTCGTAGTAATCTTTTATCAACCTCAACTTTCAGATAACACTGAAGAAAGAGCAAGAAGAAAAGGAACAAAAGAGAAAGGAGAAAGTAGAGGATCATCTCTACACAATCATCAAGGTTTCTTTCAACTTTTAGTCTCTATGCTTTACTTCTTGTATCTTTATATTTAGGAAACGTTTAACTAAAAATTTCATTTCATTTTCAGGTAGCTCGTGATGAAGACCTCGGTGAACAAATCGGAAAGGAGATTTATTTTGATCTTGTGGATCATGATAAAGTGCGTACTTTTCGTATTCAGAAACAGATGCCATTTACTCAATTGAAGGTACAGTTATCATTCTGTTGCATTTCTTTTTCTCATAGATTTGCAAAGTTATAGCCATATTGCTCTTACTAAACATGACGCGCAATTGTATGTACGACATAAGAATGAAGTCGGTTTGACCTTATCTAATAAAGAGGCGTCATGTGAAATTTGTTTCTTCTACAACTTGAAATATGGAAGGTAAACTTCTGTAACTTGTGTTTATATCGAGTTAAAAGATGAAACTTTGAATTCTGAGTGCTAATTATAGGTAAAATTTGAGTAGAATACAAACAATCATAAAAATTCAGAATACGGAGTTCTAATGGTTAGGGTGGGAGGGTTCACATAATTACTAGTGCTCTCTCAGCAGACAAGATAAGCATATTTCTCTTGAATGTCATTGGTCAATCAGACAATCACTAAGTCTTAAGTATGGCATGTGTCTGATGGTACATCTGTTTCTAGGAGGAAGTTGCTAAGGAATTGGGTATACCGGTGCAATTTCAACGTTACTGGATATGGGCAAAACGCCAGAACCATACGTATCGGCCTGATCGTGCATTGACAGCTCATGAGGAAACTCAATCCGTAAGTTCTGTCTGACAATGCTGTCTTTCTGCAGTGTGCTCTTCGTCTGAGTTATGAGTGCAGTTTTCATGGTGATGTTCTTTGTATATTTCATGTTTTGTCTTCTACATAAAGTTTATTCTCCTTGGCTTGTCCCTTCACATGAAACGAAAAAGGAATGACCGTAGCATGATATTCTTGTCAGTGGTGTGAAGCTATCTGACATTACGAGACAATTCCATATATGGTCTGCAGCTATATGGGACAGTTTGATTCAGTGATTTCTCGTGCTTGATCTGTCTTCTACCCAAAAAAGAGGCTATATTTATTGATAATCAATTTGTATGTTTGCAAGAATAAAGAAAGTAATATAGTTACGTGGACTCAGCTTGATAGGTGTGCTAGTGGAAGATAGTAAGTACCCGGTGGAACAGTCGAGGTGCACAATCTAGTTAGGACACCAACATTATCAAAAAAAGCTATGTGGGCCCTAATCGACTATGGAATGTAATACTTACTGCAAACGTAACTCTGTTTCCTGAAAATTTTGATCAAGAACTTGGCATCCACCAATTTCCCGTTGCTTAGCAAAATAGATGTCTTCAGTTGCTAGTGAATAAGATCAATATTTCTGATCATGTTGGTTCATCCATTGCTGGTCCACAAGTCCATTCTCCTTCTCTATCTCTCTGTATCCCCTTAACTCCCTCTTCCCCACACTCTGGACATGTTTTTGGATTGGACCAAGTATTGTGACCCCTCGCCCCCCTTGAAAGTGATTTTCTTGAAGCGTGACAATTGTGGCAGGTATTATGATCATTTTGTCTTGCAATCTTTCTTCTATAGTCCATGGTTTCTACAGTTTGTTAAACAATGGTACAGCTTGATTAACTCAGTGTTAATGATTTCACATTATGTGTTTTCAGGTTGGTCAACTGAGAGACAGGAATAGTGCTGAGCTAAAACTGTTTCTGGACGTAGAATTATGCCTGGTAATGCATCACTTGCCTACTTGTCTTCCCTTTTGATGATTCACATGTTGCATGTTTTCTCTGTGAGGCTTTATCTACATGTTTCACTTTTGTGTTTTATTTTATTTTGTGTATTTTTGCAGGATTTGCGACCTTTTCCTCCACCAGAGAAGACCAAGGAAGATATCCTTCTATTTTTCAAATTTTATGACCCCCTGAAAGAGAAGATAAGGTATTACATCTTGCTTCTATATAGGTTTAATACTTTCACTAAAGTAGCGATTTTCATGTTTGAATTTGGGATTTGCTCATTTGTTTTGAGACAACACGACCACATGGAAAAGGTGCTTTGTACTTTTACACAGTCTAGAGGTCTATAACCGACATCGTAGAGAATTGAATGTGACACTGTAGTTAGCATGAGTGTACAACAAAGAAGGGAAAAAGGGAGAAGACGACGACTAGATCAAAGCTTTGGACTTGATGACGGTTCATATTAATTCAAAATTTAATGGATTTGAAACTTGATATGCTGTTAAAGTCCAACTGCATGGGGCTGCATATACGAGAAGCCATGATGTGGACGAGTTTTTTGATCTCTCTCCGTTTAATTTTCTTTTTGTTGTCAGGTATGTTGGACGGCTTTTTGTAAAAGAAAGTGGCAAGCCGATGGAGATATTAACAAAGCTAAATGAATTGGTTGGCTTTTCGCCTGATGAAGAAATTGAACTTTTTGAGGTTAGTTTCTTCTTCTCTTGCCACCAGTTTTTTTTAACTCTTAACATATGATATGTGATTTTTCAGGTTTTGTTATTCACAGGAAATAAAATTTGAACCCAAAGTGATGTGTGAACACATTGACAGTAACCAGAGTTTTCGTGACTGTGAGGTATGTGCAATAAATTGCCAGTTGCTTGGGGTTTTTATGCACTTGCTGATGTAGTCAATTTCTTCCAATAATTTTTTCTTTTTGTTTCTTCTGCTGGAATTATTAGCAATGAAAATTTTATGCAATACTGCTCTGGCTTTGTAGATAGGAGATGGGGATATAATTTGCTTTCAGAAATCCCTTCGAAATCACGTCAGTGAACAATATCGCTTTCCTGAGGTTCCTTCATTTTTGGAGTACGTGCACAATCGCCAGGTATGTGTGGCACGCTCTTATTGTGATATTGTCATTGGAGTATGAGAGATTGTTGCAACATTGCAATAGATTTTGATGATGGCTATATCTTTGGTAGTACGCCTGCCATACTTGTATTTTGCTCACTTTGACTTAACCAAACAACCGAACCCGGGAACCAACATAGTCATGAGAAAGAGACAGATTCAAAGACATGTAGAAATCTAGAGATTACCTGTTGTAGTATTGTTAAATGACGAATCGCAGCAGACATATATTGAAGCAGGAGCCACGAATCACCTGCGAGATGCTCCACCGGAATTTGGTTTCTCAGTGAGGAAGTCCGGCTATTGAACGACTTCCTTACTTGCTAACTTGGTGGTCTTTTCCCCAAGGAACGTGGCCGGGAGAGTAGTGATTGGCTGGAAAAGAAGGTGGTCGATGGAAGCTCTTGAATGGCTAAAAAAGTCATTTCTTGGAGGAGAATAACAGAACAAGACTAAGTTTGAGAGAGGAAAAAATGGGGAAGAAAGGGGACTGAAGGAGGTGTTAAGACATTTTAGACAGCTAGTCATTGGAATTTAAAGAGTCCCCGTCGGAAATCACTTATTTCAATAAGTACGCCGCAGCTAGCCGTTGAAAAATCTAAATAATTAAATTAATATTTATACATTTTGGATGGTGAAAATTTATTTAACAATAAACAATTTATATATTTAACAAATGTCCACCGGCTAGCCACCTGAAAAAGTTGCACTAAAGTTTTCACTCAAACTGGTGCCACAAGTCTTCCGACGGATTTCGTCGCCTTCCATCTGTAATGTAGTATTTCCTTCTGTCGGAATTTTTTTGCTATTCTGACAGATCTTCGGCCATCGGAAATTCGATAAATGCTAATAGTGTATGTTTTGGCAACTGACCTCATTGATAGGAAGGCATACAACAGAAGTACACAATCTATGCCAATCTGTGATAATTATGGAGGAGGAACTGAAAGATAAGGGTTTACAAGTATTCCTTTTGAAGTTTATATGAATGATAAATCAATTGTTTTCTTTTAATCAATGCTAATACATCATTATGTTGGTTATATTATAAAGCATATTTGAAAGTTAATAAGAAAATCCTCACTGTGAGATGAGAATATCTCATTTATTTACGGAAATTCAAGATCAAATCATTAGAGTTGTAATTGGTCCAGCAATAACACTTATTGCTTGTTCATCCACGATACAGCCATCCTACAACATCAAGTGATTAAACAAACTCTAGAGAAGGTCTTAAGTTCATAATAAATTTCAACACAAGAACGCTTCCCTTTAACAAGTAAATCTCTTTCTTTTTCTTTTAAAATCTGTGACGCATGTATAAATGCAATTTTTGTAGAAACCTCGATCACACCAATTTACAATACAATTTTTAACCTAATCACCAGACAATAGATAATATTGGATACTAAGACAACGATGATATTCAAATATCCATGAAAAAGATTAAAATTTTAACAATATTTTTTATGTAGACATCCAGTATTTGAAATTCACACACTTGACTTATTCAGATTCACGACAGGTAGATTCAATAAGGAGGTAAAAACTCTTTATCTAAAGGTTCTCAATTCGCAAAGCTCGACAAGGAACCTCTAGCTATAAGGTAAAAGGTTCCCACTATTCTATCAAACCTTTTGATGGTCAGAATATCGTCTATTAATACTCTAGGAACAGACATGTTTTGAAATATCAATGAGACAGACATGTTTTGAAATGGACACACTATCAACATTCAACTACTGTTAAACTAACAACAACCTCCTCCCACATGAAAGGGAAAAGAGAGAAGAAATTTTTCAAAGAAACAAAAAACTCCCTGCTTAATGCCTTATACTGATTAACATATCCGTGTTCAAATACTACTATAAAAAACATCTCTGGAAATTCTGAACCCCCCAATGTAAACCTTTTTTCTCTTCACTACCTCTTCCTTTTCCTCGTCACACAATAACTTGAACTCAAGAAAGTTCTTAGATCCATCATCTCAAACGTTTAGATTAATCTCACATACTTGAATTCTCAATTACTGAAGTATCTCATATTCACCGCTGATTGTACACCGGGTACCCGGGCAATGATTCTTTGTAATTTTTGCTCTGTTAATTCACTTTGCTTCTACAGCTTTGCTCTGTTTCGCTTGTTTTTGTATTTAAAGTAGCTTTGGTTGGTGTAGTTTTCAAAGTATAGATTTTTTTGTTTATTTATTTACAGGTGCTCATATATCCGCTGTGATTGCGGTGTGAAGTTGACCTAAAGTCTCTTTATAATATGATATTGACTGAATTTATTAGTTGTGTTGCTGTGTGAATTTACTTTGTTTTTACAGTGTTACTCCGTTTCACATCTTTTTGTTTAAACTAGCTTTATTTGGTGGCATTTTGAAAAATTTATGATTCTTTTGGGATTTATAGTTGCTGATAATTGATTTAAATTTCCCTAAAATGCGATAGTGATGGATTTAATCCACTCTGTTGCCCTATGAATTCAATTATTTACAGCTTTACTCTGTTTCTGCTGGGTGGAGTCCCCAAACAAATTGATGTCTTGGATGAATATGTGCTTAGTTTAATAATATGATGCTACTACGGTGTAAACTTTACCTAAATTCTCTCCTTACATGCGAAAGATTTATCATTTTGCTTCGTCCTTGGCAGCCAGAAGAGCACCAAATGGTTGTTCCTATTTCCGACTCTCCTACTAAGATACCTCAGACTATCAAAGGTATCTCACCTACTTTACATTGGTTGAATTGTAGTATGCGTAATTTGCACTAATTACTACCAGTTTTAGAATGAAATGGAGCCAAATTGAGCAGAATATGTAAAAGATTCATATTGCCGACCCCGGCAAGTTTGGCATAGAGGTGTGGTTGATTGATCGATATCTTACTTTTTTCTGCCTTTCAAAGATTTGGCACGCCTTATTTTTTGGCAGTTGCACCAGCGGACACAGCAAGTACGGTGGATGCACAGGCGGTTGATGATCCGGCATCAGCCCAGTTCACATGGACTATCGATAATTTTTCAAGGTTGAATGTGAAGAAGTTGTACTCTGAAGTTTTTAATGTAGGAGGATATAAATGGTAATTATTTTCAACACCCCCTTTTTTAGTGGATTGCTACAAATTTAATGGGGATATGATATTGATGTACTATATGGTGCATTGTGGCTGGCAGGAGGATATTGATATTCCCAAAAGGGAACAAGGTAGACTGTTTATCAATCTACTTAGATGTGGCAGATTCTGCAAGCTTGCCTTACGGGTGGAGTAAATATGCCCAGTTTAGCTTAGCTGTTCACAATCAAATTCAGAACAAGTTCACAGTGAGAAAAGGTCAGAGATCTCACTTGTGTATAAAAGATATGAATTTCGCGCATGAATTATAAAATGAGGGAAAATCTATAGGTTTTCTAACAACTGCATGTTTTAAGCCGTTTGAATAAGGTTTTGTTGCGTTAGATTTTTTCTGATTTTCGTCATAGTCAGCTGTGGAGAGTAATCATCAAACTTTAGACTTTTCTGGATAACTTATTTCAGGTAGTATTCTGTGCATATGTTTGATTTTTCTTTCATCCGTAAGGAACTAATTAATTAATGAACTTCCACCCATGTATTATCGTTTTGAGTTTTGACTGTTAATAATAAAACATGCCATCTAGGTTTTCATTGGGCTGTTGATTTCAAAAGTGCTCCAACAATGATGTGGGTTCATAAATGTTTTATTGCTCAATTCTTCTGCCAACAATGCTTCAACATTGTGATGCTAATTCTCCATGAGTTTCTTTTGTTTGTTTTGCTGAAAGACATATGGGTTCATCTTTATCATTATTTTTTTAACCTGTAGTATTGTCTAAAAGGCCTCTTTAATACTGTCATATCTAATTGATTCTGGAAAGATCTGTTCATTAAATTGAATCTTGTCGGCCTGTACGAGTCATCTTTTTCCCGATAAGGTAATTTTTTTTAATTAATGTGGGGAAAACTATTTAAAAAATGTGGGAAAAGCTCCCGTATTCAAGACGTATACCAATAAGTAGAGAACCTACAGAATAGTATGTTCCTGAAAATGTTATCCAATCTTCTACACGCGAGAACTTTATGTGTGCACCAAAAGCTAACTAAGAATAAGAGGCTATTCCTCAAATGTACAAAATTCATCCTCTAACCCCTCAAAGGTAGTGCCCATCTTGGACAAAACCTTAGAAAAACTTCAAGGGCTCTGTACCCGTCATATGTAGAGTTTTTATAGACAACATCTTCTAATGTACTTATATGTATTTTCTTAGAGAAAATGATATAAATGGTCCCTTGTGTTCGAGTGTAGGTCTAAAGTCGTCCATTTAATATACCACTTAGCATATTTAATCCTTTAAGTTTATCAAAAGTGAGCATTTTTGGTCTTTGTTAAGTTTAATCATGACACCATTAGTTTACTTGAATGGAAATCTCACCATGCACCTTGAAGCCATTGTGAAGCAGTGAAAAGGCACAGAGACAGAATTAATGCTGAGCTTTCTACTCTTATAACTAATCCATAAAGAATAATATATTCATGAAGTACCACAAGTAGCAGGAGGGGTAGTATATTCCTCTAAAGGCTTCTGTTTGCTGCGACGGTGGGCCTGAATTATCCTCGGAGCCGTGCCGGTGTTTAAGAATATAACCAGTTTGGGCTGCAGAACTAAGGTTGTTTTTCTGCTTTGTTCCGTCGATATGGTGGAATATAATACTATTTTTATGAATTCGCTCAGTCTCTAGTATATAGTAGTCCCATGTAGGATATCTAAATCTCCTTCTGCATCCAACTTATGAATTTAAAGCAAGAGACATATTCTTCTTGCCTGCTCAGTTTTCTTAGTTCTTTTTGTTCCCCTTAAATTTCAAAACCTGTAGCCACCGGATTGGTTTGCCTGATGGCTTTCTTGCCCCCCCCCCCCCCCCCCCCCTAAACGGGAGGGACTTAAGGAAAGTGAGGATAGTCCCACTGCCTTTATGTCTTGGTATAATGTGTTAGGCAGCTATTATCTCTAGTCTTTCACACTAGAATAGCCGGTGATCTTTTTTAATTCACGCTTCTTGAGACTTCTTATTTATGTGATAACTATTTGACTGTGGAAGTGCTGACTATGTTCTTTAATTGTATGATCCTTATTGCAGATACTCAACACCAGTTTAATGAAAGAGAGAAGGACTGGGGTTTCACATCATTCATGCTTCTTAGTGATCTATGTCATCCTGAAAAAGGTTATATTATGGATGATACTGTCATAATTGAAGCTGATGTTGCTGTGCGCAAAGCCAATTGATCACTGAAAGGTTTTAAGTAAGGATCTATGCATCACTAATGTAGAGGATTCATTCCTCCAGTAAACAGTTATTCAAGTTTTTGAAATTCCCTGGTCATAGCGTAGTAGCTCTATAGATGTTAATCCAAAGTCTGTTGAAAGTACTTAGACAGCCTTTTTGAGCATTGGGATCTCTGGCTAGCATTTCCCATAGTAATTACTAGCTAATGCAAATATTCCTAGCTTGACGCATAATTTAAGAAAAAAAGGAATACTTTTATCTTACATCTTGTGATCTTATTATTAAGGGTAAAATTGAAGTTCAAGTAAAAAACATTCTAAATATTAAAAGATGTGCAATTCTTTTTATTAATACAAATTAAAAATGATAAATTGACATAAAGTGGAACTAATGAGGTATGATATAAAAATATGCATGGTTGGGAGGGTGATATTTGGTTCCAGTAAAATCTTCTTTTCAGTTTCCTTCGTCCAGAGTTATCTCTTATATTTATTTTTGTCACTCCTTCAATCTAATTGCAAGTACAAGTATTTTAACATTCCTAGGAATCTCAAAACTCTAACGCCAAAACATTCGTTTCCGAAGATGAAATGAAATTGAAATTCTTAATTAACCAACGGTAATACTTTGAAGAGTATATATATATATATAAGAAAAAGAATTGAAAACCAATTGTATAAGAATAAAATAGAGCAAAACGACAAAACCAAATAAGTAAAAGCATTTCCAATCAATTTGTAGTTTTACAATGACAGTGTTCATAAATAATATTTACTGTTGCAACTAATTTTTATGCTAACTATACTTGGTGACTGTTGGCATGTTCAAACTACTGTAGACGGAAAATGAGGGAGAAAACAAAAAAGTGAGAAATAAATAAATTTACTGATCTAAAAGAAATGCCACGTAAACATCATTTTTTTTTTGACTCCCTAATGAATTGTTTTACTGATTTGCTAATCGTGAATTTTCAATCTTCTCAGGAGATAGGCAGAGAAACTTGAAAATAAAACATTTACAAAGTCTTTAAATTTTAAAAAGTAAAATGCGAAAACAACAGTAACAATTGATTTATGCCGTAATTAATTTAAGCTAAGCAAGCAAACCATCTTTAAAAAGAAAAAAGAAAAGAGAAGGCCAAACATCATAAAAAGAAACTTTAGGAGATTTAGAAAAGTTTGAAACCGTAAAAGAGCTCATAAATGGAGATGTTAAATTGTCTAACAGAAAAAAAGAAAGAAAAAAGAAGAGCAAATGAAGTCAAAACTAAGAGAATATCTCTCTTATTTATTCTCTAAATTAATATCGCCCTATAGTAGTTTTATACATTTCTCAATGTACTAAAACCAGTTCTAATCTCAAGCTTCAAAACTATAAAAAGGTGAAAAATCAAGAAAACTGCCTGTTTGGCCTAGTTTCTAAAATTAGCTTATTTTGAGAAGTGTTTTTTTCAAAAGTATTTTTCAAAAAGTGCTTTTGGTGATAAGCAGTTTGTGTTTGACTAATTAATTTGAAAAATACTTTTGAGCAGTAATTAGTGTCTGACTAAGATTTTAAAAACTGCTTCAAAGTGTATTTTTTTCAAAAGCGCTTCTCAGAAAAGTGCTTTTGGAAAGAAGTTACTTTTTTCTGCTTCTTAGAAACTGCTTCTGTTTCTCTTCAAAATTACTTTTTTTTTCCAACTAAAAACTTGTCCAAACATCTTAATTTTTGGAAAAAAAAAAAAAATTTGGCCCAAAAATATTAAGATAACAATCATTTCAAAAGGCGATTCTATTCTCAAGTGCACAATGGATTACATTGTTACGATATAAACTAAATTTCCTCTACCTAACTCATTTTATCAAAAATGTATAAGATCTGGTTCGACCATATACATGTTTGGACAGAGATGACGTCGGAGATTGGCGAATAAGAGAGAATCGGTTATGTGAACAATTGTTTGTGATTTAAGTATATGCATCAAAACATAGGAATATTTATTTAAAAAGTGTGAAAATGTTTACAAAGAACATGTTTATAAATATGATTCGTTTCCCGAGTTCCGTCACAAACTTTTGGGATACGTCACTATAGCATATAGAAATATTTAAGTAAATTCAAGATCAGATCATTTGAGTTATAATTGGCCCAACAATAACACTCATTTCTTGTTCATCCACAATACAACCGCTCAACAACATCAAGTGATTCAATCAAACTCTAGAATAAGGTGTTACGTTCTTAATAATTTCCAACACAAAGAACACTTCCCTTTAACAAACTCTAGAATAAGGTTATAGTTTCAGGGAAGGAAATGCAGTCGCTGATTCTCTAGCAAAAGAGCCAAAATGAAAAGGTTTCTTCCTTTTTTTCTTATTTTTTGGTAAGTAAATTATTTCATTTCACAAACCAAAAGAGATTACAGCGCAAATTCATCTAAGGATTTGGACATCATACCCCAAATCCTTGATTCAAGTCATCATCCTTGTCACGATGCCTTACAATGTCGTGATAGCGCTTAGTCTCTAAAACTAGGTAAACCTAACATACATTGAGGATTTAACAGAATTAACAACTAAGATGACAAATTTTAAACTGATAACTTTCATAGTGAAACCAAAACGGTACAACAGTCACGATATCCCAAAACACGGTGAAACTGAGTGAAAATGCACTAATAATCTCTAAATACAACTTTGTTTGAAGTGAAGATAAACAGTAGTAAGGCAATAGAAGAAGGTGACTCTGAGGCCTACGAGCGTCAACATATACCTTGAAGTCTCCAAAGTAACTGGGTCAACTTATTGGCGTCTGGCACAAGCATAACTACATAGATCGACAAAACAATGTGCAGAAACGTAGCATGAGTACACCACAATGGTACTCAATAAGTATCAAGCTTAACCTCGGTAGAATAGTGACGAGACCAAGTCAAGACACCTACTAGACAAAAGAAACCTAAACAATATATAATATAATCTAATAACGGGAGACAAAGAAATAGATGACATCAGAGCATTACGATGATGTAAGGCTAACACCGGAAGTTTAAAGCAATAAATGCCAACAAAGAGTGAACGTATGCTAGGAACAACAAGTGATCAAGTACCGTGAAAATACAAGTAAAACAATGAAGGAAAGATAATAACCGCTCAAATCAACAAGCCTTTTGAACATATAATATACAACAAGAATCACAACTGAGGCACCACACCTCATATCCACATGTCACAATTTACAATCACAATCTTCGTTATATCGCCGCGTGAGCCTTACATTAATATTTTTTAAAATATTTTTTCCGAAATAGCTACACGCGCTTTAGCCCCCTTATTTCACCGTGTGGCTTCAAGTAATTCCCTTAATAGCAATATGCGTATAAATCATACCTTATACCGCCGCATGCGCATCAATATCACAACACAATAATCAACTCGCACCACACGTGCCCATATGCCACAACATTGCAAAAATTAACAATACCAAATGTCATCACAATATATAGCCCACGGCTCAAGTACAATGTGTGCAAAAATCTCAATAACAACAAAAAATTAATGAGAAACAACTTAACGAGGAAAGATGTCTCAATAATCAAGAACTTCAGCCTCAATGTGTTAATAAGTTTCACAACTACAACTTCAATAACTCACAATAAAGGTATTCTCATGGGATGGAAACTTCCAATTCAAGTGCAAAACATAAGTTCAATAATGAAAGAGATAGCATGAAATAACAACTAAGTCTAAATGCATGACAATAACTCAATAATAGAAAGAATGACATGTTACAACAACTACAAATAAATGCACATAAGAGTAACTTTGACAATAAAAAATTAGAACATGTAATAACAATTTCAATTAAAGTATGTAAGAATAAAAATGACAAAGAAAGATATAATAAATAATAATAACTTCAATTAAGTTCTTATAAGTAACCTAAGAGTCTAAACCAGTCAAATATCATATATAGGCCTGTATACACACTTGTCAGCTCGTGTACACGTCTTCCACATAATTCAAATAGTACAATCAACCCAAGTCCTGAGGGGTAGTTCCCCCATACAATATTAGACAAGATACTTACCTCAACTAGGCCAAATCAATAATCAAAAATAGCCTTTCCCTTAAAGTTTGCCTCTACACAGCTCAAATCTAACAAAAAATGACTTAATATCATCAAACAATGTAAGAGAAATCAATTTTGATTAATAAAGTTAAGATATTTATACAATTTTTCAAAAGTCAACAAAAGTCGACTCCGGGCCCGTCCGGTCAAAATTCAAGTCCAAGGGTAGATCCCGACTATCTATAATTCCACGAGTTCATATATATGTTTTGTTTCAAATCCGAGTCCAATTCGACTCTCAAATCCTAAATTTTTTAATTTTTTTTCAAAATATAGATAAAATTTCTCTTTTATTCGCATAAATTTGACGTTAAATCTCATATATAATCATGTAATATAGTTAAAAATTTATCAACATCACTTACCCAATAATTGCAGGTGAAAATTCTCTCTGCAAATCGCCTCATACCGAGTCTAGGGTTCTAAAATGAGAGAAATAAGATAAAATCCTAATTGTCTAGCCCTTTTGTTCAGGTGCAGATATCGCAATTGCGACACTGGGTTCGCAGTTGCAAACCCTCGCAATTGCGAAGACGGAATTGCAATTGCGGTGCCTGATAGTCTAATTGGGAAGTCGCAAATGCGACATTGGCTTCGCATTTGCAAAGCATGTTCCCATCGCAAATGTGATAAAATAGTCACAAATGCGAGCCTACCTTTGCTAGCCTCACTTCGCAAATGCAATCCAGGTATCGCAAATGCGATTCCTAAGACCCCCTACTATGATCACAATTGCAATATTGGTGCTCACAATTGCAATAACTGGAGCACCAGCAACCTGAAATTGAGTCAAAACATTCTGAAACGCGTCTGAAACTCACTCGAGCCCTCAAGGATCCAAATCAAACATCCACACAAGTCTAAAAATATCATACGAACTCGCTCGTATGATCAAAATATAAAAATAGCATCTAGAACCACGAATCGGACATCAAAACATATGAAATTCAAAAGAAAACTCAAGAACTTCTAGAATTGCAACCAAGCATTCGAATCCTATCAAACGAACTCCAAATTACACCAAACTTTGCAGACAAGTTCCAAATAGCAAAACAGAGCTATTCTAAGTCCCAAAATCAAATTCTGAACCCGATTGTCATAAAATCAACCTACGATC